CCGTTTGGCAATCTCATACTTTGCCTTTTTCAACTCCCACAGTGAGGATCAGGGGTCGGACTTGTGGCAGACAGCTGGCTTGTGCATGGGGCCATTGTCATGCTGAAACAGGACAGCCTTTGCCAGACTGATGCACAAGTTGGTGCTATTGTGTAAAATATAATTATGTGCTCTAGCTGAGGAGAAATACGTCCACATTTTGGGTGATTTGCTTATTTGCTCTCTTTCCAAAAGCAAGTTGGAATGATTGGTGAATGTCATGTTGTAGTGTGGAGCTGGAATCAGGACGCAGCAAGCCTGGCTCTTTTTTAAAGTGATAAATAGAATCTACCAGCACGTCAAACGCTCACTAATTGACCTTGTTGTTTGATCCGTGAATAACAGAAATATAAAAACTATTTGATGTTTTACAGGCAGATAAGTTTTGTACATATTTCTTAACGAACAGCCGTGTGCAGCATTGTGTTGTCACGGTACCAAAATTGGGACCCACGGTACGATACCAGTGAAAGTATCAAGGTTCTGAGTAGTATCAAGAAACCACAAAAAAAATGAGGCAAATGTGCCTTTTATCATTTAAAAAAAGATAAATCACTTTTCTATAATACATCAATGATATTTCAATGGAATAAATTACTTATTGACTTATTCATACTTCAAAAACAGCATCAATAAGTGATGAACAATGGAAAACAAACCACTGCAGCAGCATATTGAGTGCCAGGTGGCCAGTGCGCGCCGTTATTGGACAGCACATGGACACTAACCCTCTTGTGATTGGACTTTGAACTTATCCCACAGTAGTGGCACAGTGAGGTACCATAGTACTACAGTACTCCAACATTATGGTATCATATGTACCGTGGTGTTTTAGTACCACGGTCTACCGTTGGTACCAGTATACCGTGCAACACCAGTGCAGCATCACAGAATCTAACTGAATCTGACAACCTGTGCTACAGCTGAGTGATGGCTGTAACCTCCACTTGCCACGTGCGTAAGGCAATAAGGCCTTTGCATGCAGTACCCCACATGCAAAGTCAAGGTAATGTGTGCTTTAGATAATTTGTATTATTTAAATGAAAGTTAACTTATGTAGGACAGCTTTACTTCTTTATTAGGGAAGCGCGGTATTATATGACCGGTGTAGCTATTTAGCTAGTCGTCCAAAGTCTCATGTGGACTTTTGTAAACACCCCTGAGTGCATGATGAGTCATCAAACATTTGAAACCACTTTATCTGGTTTTACAGAAGGGGAAAAGACGGGGATTTTAATGAAGAAAAATCGGATATATTTGGCATATAACTAGAGATAAATGATAACACAGGGACACAGGATTAAAATTGAGGAATGAATGTTTCATTTAACCAGGTCTTTAAATGGAGCAAAGGTGCACAGGGATGTCCACATGCTTTTAGCTTTTGTAATGTATCTGTATATCCATTTAGACATCAATCTTTTTTTCCCCGAGTCATCATTCGCTGTAATCTCGCTGCTTCTCGCACTTTTGTAGCCCTCTGCTCTTATATGCTAATCACTTCTCTCTGTAGGATTGTTGTGAGAGTGCAGGATACTTCTCTCCACTCCTGTCTCCCTCTAATCTCTGATGTCAGCATAATACTTTGAGAGAATTCCACACTTGCACAACTTTACTCTTCACAACACGTCATGTCAAACTTGCTTGTCACTGGCAGCTTTGCGGATGAAACAGGAAGCCTAATCATGTTCGTCAGAAGCTGTGACGGACCCCTCTGCATTTCCATTCATGTTTCTCTCACTGCTCTCCTGCTAGCTGGCCTACATACAGGCATCACTGTCGCACACACGCTTTCACACTCTCTTTTTGCTCGAGCTGTCTCTTCCCATCATGCTACATTCATCTCTCCTCCTCTTCCTCAGTCCTTGTCTCACCGTCTCTTGCCCCATTCTTGGATTTTATTCATCACGTTGTGCACATTCCCTCCTGTCTTACTCTCTCTGGCTCTCCATGTTCCCCTCCTCTTTTCTGTGAGACTTTATCCACCCTGACAGTGTTGGTGTTTTCCGCATCACTGCATCTGCTGTTGCAGTAGCTTTTGCAGTTTAAGCAAATCACACTGAGCACTTTGGTTTGACCTGTATAGAGACATAACAAAAGGGCTACTTAAAGAGGTGGACAGTCTGTTTGATAATCAATTTTTAGAAGAAATTTCCAGAATGGATGCTTTACCCAAACTGTCTTGATGTGGGAAAGCTGTACTATCTCCCAAAAGCATCCTGGATGGCTAAAATGAACGTGAAGACCCTGCTGAAGCTGAACAGGTGTTTCCGAAAAGTACAGTATTCTTTGATCATTAATACCAATGCTCTCTTCACGTGACGGTTGATGTAAAATGGGAAAATAAAAACAAACACATGCACATGAAAGAAAATGATTGTGCAATCGCATTGCTCAGTTTCTGGTTTTCATTACCCTCACCTCACCTTTTACCAGGGTCTCAGACCATAATAACCTTGTTAGGGCTCTGGCTTGTTGACAGTCATCTTAAGGAAAGGCCAGGTGATGCAGATTTCAAAGCTTCATAAATACTTTGACTCCTGAAACCTTGTCCCGTCAATCAGCAGCCATGGGCTCCTCTAAACAGCTGCCTAGCACTCTGAAAACTAAAATAACTGATGCTCACAAAGCAGGAGGAGACTATTAGAAGATAGCAAAGTGTTTTCAGGGAGCTGTTCAACAATTAACAGGTGGAGGTCTGGAAGACCAAGAAAGCTTTCTGAGAGAGCTGCTCGTAGGATTGTTAGAAAGGTAAATCAAAACCCTTGTTTGACCGCAAAAGACCTGCAGGAAGATTCATCAGACTCTGGAGTGGTGGTGCACTGTCCTACTGTGCAGACACACCTGTACAAATATGATCTTCATGGAAGAGTCATTAGAAGAAAACCTTCCCTGTGTCCTCACCACTAAATTCAGCATCAGAAGTTTACACAGGAACATCTGAACAAGTCTGATACTTTTTGGAAACAAGTCATGTGGACTGATGGAGTTAAAATACAACTTTAATGAAAAGAACACCTGTCCAACTGTTAAACACGGGGGTGGATGGATCATGCTTTGGACTTGTGTTGCAACCAGTGGCACAGGAATATTTCACAGGTAGAGGGAAGAATGGATTCAGTTACATTCCAGCGGATTCTGGAAGCAGCAAATGTAAAAAAGCTGAAGATGAAGAGAGGATGGCTTCTACAACAGAACAACGATCCATAATACACCTCGAAATCACCAACTGACTACCTCAAGAGGAGCAAGCTGAAGGTTTAATCGAGGCCCTCACAGTCCCCTGACCTAAACATGATTGAAAATCTGTGGATAGACCTCAAAAGAGCAGTGCATGAGGACGGCCCAAGAATCTCACAGAACTAAAAGCCTTTGCAATGAGGAGTGGGTGAAAATCCTCCAAAAAACAAGAACTGAAAGACTCTCAGCTGGTTATAAAAAGCGTCTAGAAGCTGTGGCACTTGGCAAAGAGGGCGCTATTAACTACTGTCCATGCAGGGGGCCCAAACTTTTGCTTCAGGCCCTTTTCCTTTTTTGTTATTTTGAAACTATAAAAGATTGAAATTAAAAAGTAATCTTGCTTAAAATATTGAAGACGTGTCATCTTTAACTTCATGCCTTTTGGAGATCAGTTTATCTGTGTGTGTGTGTGTTCCACGTTTCTCTCCTCACTGACTTGGTCAATCCATGTGAAATTTGGCACAGTGGTAGAGGGTCATGGGAGGATGCAAATGAAGCAATATTACATCAATTGGCCAAAGGGGGGCGCTATAGCAACCAATTGAAATTGCAAACTTTGAATGGGCATATCTCATGCCCCGTATGTCGTAGAGACATGAAACTTTGCACAGAGATGCCTCTCCTCATGAGGAACACATTTGCCTCAAGAACCCATAACTTCCGGTTATATAGATTTTCCGCCATTTTGAATTTTTGGAAAAACACTTCAAATGGATCTCTTCCTAGGAAGTTTGAGCGATCTGCATGAAACTGGGTGAACATAATCTAGGGACCAATATCTAAAGTTCCCTCTTGGCAAAAGTTGGAAAACTTACTAAAACTGAGCTTCTATAAGGCAATGAATATTGCGGAGGGCGTGGCTCATCACATAAAGGTGTATAACATCTCAAGGGTTTCACCCATCACCACGCAACTTTGTAGGCATATGACCACACATAATCTGAGGGGACCCCTCCATTATTGACCCCATCAAACAAAATGGGGGCGCTAGAGAGCTCATTTCTTATCTAGGCCTAACCGCCATATGGATTTTTACTAAACATGGTAGATATGTAGAACAGGACGCCTCAAGGTGACTGGAGAAATTTAACTCTAATTGGCAACTGGGTGGCGCTATAACAACAGAAAAATGCTTAAAAATGGCTAAAATGCGACCGATCACTGTGGCTCCCCCTGTGGACCAATGTTGTTGTTTTTTGTCTAATTTTTGGTATGACTAAGTCACGGTATGGTATGCTGTACTCAATGGGTATGGACTAGTACATAAGTATTCACCATTCATAAAAATTTGACCAATGTTGCCTAAACTTTTGCATGCAACTGCATTCATCTGTCATTATGTCTCTGCATTGAATGCACTTGGTTTCATCCATATAAACAACACTATTAACTTTAATGGTCAACATTCAGAGACCAGATGATGATTCTCTGCATAATTTATCATGGTTAGAACAAAGAGTGAATCTCACAGGTCTGACAGCAGCAAAACAACTGCTCCTTATATGTTATCAGAAAGACGTTGGTTACTTTCATGGTTGGATGTTGTTTATTCAGAACAAAGAGCAGCGAGACAACATGTAGTGGAGGCAGAACGTCTTTTAATTTAGTCTGAAGAGGCAGAAAAAGTACACACTTAATACTCCTTTGGTCTTTTAATACTTTGTTCTGAGATGCCCTTCAGTATAACTCACTCTGCTCTCTGTTTTTCTGCCTCTCTGCAGCTCTCACCGACCGACAAGAGTTTGGAGTTTGACAGAGACTTTCGCATCAGGCACTACGCAGGAGATGTGGTGTAAGTGTCTTAAGGTTTTATTTATTCAGGAAAAGCTTTTACCGGTGATTCATGCTCCTTTTCCCACATTTGTACATTTTTACATATTCATGCCTCAGAGCTGCCTACTGAAACCACAGGCTTGTACTTTTGGCCGCTTCAGGAGCAGATGGGAGTTTGGGTTCCTGAATGAAACTCGACGGTTGTTTGGAGATGTGGGAGCACCACTCATTCACACTCTATGACTAGATGTTGGCCAAATATTCTTTTCATATCCCAGATCTATTCAACCCACTGTATATGAATATTTGCCACCATGCAGTTACTTTCTGAGAAGGAATACATCACTCCTTTGACCCTTTAGTTTATGTACAGTAATGTTTTAGGTCAATTATTATAAATATAAAAACACATATGGGGAACTTCTGTTTCTCTGCACAAATAAAACTGCCATCTGTTCAGACTCCAGGCTCAAAGAATAGGTAGATTTCTGAGGTTTTATATCCACATGCAAAACTTATTAAACCAATATCAGTCACCCACAGTGTGAGAACACAGCACACTTTATCATAGCTCTTAAATACCTACAGAAGCGCCCGCGATCCCATTTGCTTATCTATTTTTAAATACCGGTAGAATTGCAACCAAATAAGATAGAGCAATAATTCTTTTTGCATATAAAACCAGAGGAGTTACACTAACATATCATGCATTTGTTGTGTCCCAGAGCACACAAAATATGTGTAAAATATATATATATCCATACATATTAATAAAATTTGGGATTTAAGGGTTGTATTGATGTAAAGCACATTAAATTGCTCCAAAAATGGCACTACAGCATGTAAAAATGTAAAGATGTGCTCTGGCAGACTTGTCCTATGGTAGGTCATAAAGGGCTAAAGGGATAGTTCAGAGTTTTTGAAGTAGGGTTGTATGGGGTATCCATAGAGAATAAATTACTAACAGTAGATTTTAGTCCACACGCCTTCAGTTTGAAGAAGTAGGCTTGAGAAAAACAGTGATTCAGCATTATTGATCACAGGAGCTGCTGGTCAACACTGCCTCGACCAATATTTTTTTTTTTGCTATTGTGTGACCTTTGCTTTTGAAAGAGTTAGTTCAGATTCACCAAAGTCACACAATAGTGCAAACTAAATAATTCATTTGAATTTTCTGCAAACAGAATGCACAACACTTAATAACCCATGTAGATTCCTCTTGATCAGTGTGAATGAGGAATAATTGAAAGATTATTTCATGCACATTCATTTCTTGATAATTCCCCTCATGAGAAGAGTTTTACTCAGCCTGGGTGCTAATTTAAAGCAGGCACACAGGCGTGATGAATCATTGGACTAAAAAAGATCCCATTGTAATCTGCAGTCGTGAAATAAAACAACTGAAATACATCAAAAATAACCCTCTGTTTGGAACAGCCAGCAATTTGCCCCTGCTTCACATTCAAAACATAAGGACGCAGAAACACACACACTTGCATGCACACACACACACACACTGTGCACACTCGAACATTTAAATGACATCTTCATTGCCTGACGTCCCCCAAAATGACAGCAGCACTTTCCAATCCCCAAAGTGTGTGGACACCATTCAAATGAATAAATCACACACGCTAAGCCCCCAAAAAGTGCAGGGAAACGTGTTGAGCCCATTTGTGAGGGCTAAGTGTCTGCCACCCAGGGGAGGGCTCAGGCAGAGGAGCCTGACTGGCAGGCCTGATTGATCCCTGAGCCACTTAGACCAGGCAGGAGGCAGAGTGCCGCACACATCTCCCAGCATGCCGCTGAACAGTGCTGCTATTTATAGCGGGTTCATCACTTAACAGCTCACATTAAATTCAAGTGTATATTGACACGGGCTGTAAGGATGGGCTTATATTTAGATCAAACCACAGTTTATACAACCAGTGCCCACTTTATTAGGTACACCTGCTCAATATGGCTTGATTGACTGAACTCAATGCATCAAAGTGTGCAGACCTGGTCAGGAGATTCAGCTGTTGTTCAGACCGAAGATCAGAATGGAGAATAAATGAGATGTAAATGACTTTGATGATGAGGTGGTTAAAGTATCTCAGAAACCGCTGATGTACTCAAACAACCCTGCGTGAGTAGATCAGCAAGGCTCCAACCTGCCTGTGATTCAGTGTGGGGGACATCTTCTTGGCACAACCTTAAAGGATTACTTTGATTTTTTTTTTTAACCCTGGACTCTATTTTGCCATATTTTTGTGTCCAAGTGACTGCTCAGAGCAACTTTTTTGAAATTAGTATTGAGCGAGGGGGTAAACAGGCTGCAATGGAACCACTCAGGGCTGCACGTCCACATAAAGTGCTTGTTTTTGCCACTGACAGGCTCAGTTTATCATTCTCAGTGTCTGGCAACTTTGTGGAAAGGATCCCTACAGTGATAGTCCGTTTTGTTAAAGAGTAAGACCCTTTTTGTTCAACCCTTTTGTTCGCTATCGCCAAACCCACCAGACTTCATTTAAATAAACAGTAATTTTATAATCGTAAAGCACACTTCTTTTAGAGGCGACAGAAGCAAAATAAAACTTGCAAAAACAGTCTTGGTTTGCCTTTCCACTGTTCCAACAATCTCCAACAGTGGTCAGGTTAAAATAAACCCCTAATTCACCCAGTTAGATGTGAAAATACGCTGACTCTATACATGCTAAAATTCCTGATTATTTGAATGGAGTCTGGTGAGTTTGGCGATGGCGATTTCGGGGCTGTTTCTGGTTGAACAAACAGGATCTTACTCTTTAACACAAAGCTCTGTCTCTGTAGGGATCCTTTCCATTAAGTTGTCACACACTTAGAATAACAATCTGAGCCTGCCTGTGGCAAAAACAAGCACTTTTATGGGATGTACATTGACGTATGTGACCCCAAGAGATGCACCAATCCAGCTTTTTCAGTTTCAATCCCGATCCCGATGCTGTGGCTTTGAGTATCAGCCGATACTGATCCGATACTATGGTTGACCTAAAAAGCTATATACCTTTACATGTAGAACAGAAAAGACTAGAGGCATCAGGCATTGATGACTACACAGTTCTTTCCTAAGATAAAATGAGACCAGATCAAACAGATTAATGCAATGATGAACTATTTATTTTTAACAAAAATATCCAACTGTGCAACAGCAGTTGAAATGGTGTGAAATATCTCCACACAGCAGATTCTCTCTTTCACTCCATGACGTATGACGTAACTCGTGTTGCAATAGATTTAAAGGGAAAGGATCGCCTCAGATATAGGCTGCATTTTCCAATACCTGATCCATCTATTTTGATGATATCAGGGCCGATATTCGATCCAGATATCGGATCGGTGCATCCCTATGTGCCCCATGTGGTTTCATTGTAGCCTGTGTCGCAGCTGCTACTGTATCTGCAGCCCTCTCACTCACCACCGGATCAGTTTCAAAACCTGCTGTTCGCATTAGTTACAAAAAAACATGGAAAACAGGGTCCAGATTGAAAAATACCGAAGTACTGATACTGAGCGTGGTTTGAATGCCTCAGCCTGAGTATCGTTGGTTGCCATGTGCATCCTTTGTGTTCACAGTCTGCCCATCTTCTAGTGGCTGCGTCCAGCAGGATAAAGCACCATCTCAAAACACACTCTTAACTCAATCTACGTCTACCAATGACAATGGGTTCATGCTACTCCAGTGGCCTCCACAGACGCCAGATCTCTAATAAAGCAGCACTTTTACAATGTGGGGGAGCGGGAGATTCACTGCATGAATGTGCAGCTGACAGATCTGCATCGACTGCTCGATGCTGTCACGTCAACACGAAGCAGCACCTTGTTGTATCCATGCTGCAAAGAATTCAGACTGTTCTGGGGCCAGTGTCAGAGCAGTGCATCTAATAAAGTGGCCACTGAGTGTAAATTGGTAGTTGCAGGATAATTCAGACTTATCTGTAAGTAAAGGTTAAAGTAATCATGTAGTTATGATGCTACCAGCTAACAACAGTAAGCAGCAAAGTATGTGCATTTACCTTCCTCCCTCTCTTCACAGGTACTCAGTGGTGGGTTTTATTGATAAGAACAAAGACACTCTGTTCCAGGATTTCAAGAGACTGCTATACAACAGGTAACACACACACACACACACACACACACACACACACTCACACAGAGTAATACACACCTCTTCAATCACCTCCACACACTGTATTCACTGTACTCCTTGCAGCACTTTGATTACATGACACCCCTCCAGACAGAACAGCACAGGACTAGTACAGCTAATCTCCTCTCAGCCGGCTCTCATCCTCCTCCTCTCCTCCAACCCTCTGGCGCTTTTCCTCTGCTGAATATAAATGTGAGGTCTAGTAATTCCCGACCTGTCTAATGTGCATTTTATGATGCTCTTCACTCAGGTCAAAAGCAACACGTTTGGATAGCATCCAAATGTGTTTTAACGTGGGTCCTAATGACCTAATGGAAACACCTTTTCCTGGTTTAGTGTATCCAGAGTCTAAAGTGAAATACAAATTGTGCAAGGTAGCAGTCTTGTGCCCTCAAACCTCCTACGATCCTGTGTTCTCATATGAGGACATTACACGTTGGGATTGCTTGACCTAAAACTTCACTCTGCTTAACTCAGACCTGTTGTCCTTGTCAGTGGACACTTTATTGCTCCATCTAGTTTTAGCAAAAGCACAGCATGCTAATCCATTTAAAAACAAGATGATGGCTATCTCTGCCAAGTCAGTCTGCAGCTGATCCTGACACAAACTCAGGGACAAAACCTGAACAAATTTGATGGCTGAAACTTGTTTATTTATGTTTTATAATGTTTGTTGTTTGATATGGAATAATGATTTTTACCAATTTTAGCAACAGTAACAAGATAAAACTGTCATTTAGTCAAAATTGAAGATAATTACGAGCACGGCTGTTCACAGCTTTCAATTTCCAATAGTCAACCACTGACATGTTCATCACGTCTCGTCTCATCGATGAAAATAAAACATCGATTTCGTAGGGCTGGGCGATGTGGCCTAAAAAAAAAATCTCCGATTTTTTCACAACAAATCCGATTCACGATTTAAATCGATTTTCCCCCTCTACTTAAAATCAATTTTCAGAGAAATATCTGCGGCCTGGTAGCATGTACCTGGGCTCCAAAACTTTCAGCATGTGAATAAACCCCGGCTTTTCCACGGTAAATATGGGCACCATATCTCTTGCAAGATACATCGCGACTGCATCCGTGATCGCTTTCCACCGGGCCGGCAGTGTTTCCCCTACCATTATATTGCCCCGGGACGCATTTTCCTGAGTCCGAGACAATTATAACCGAGCCTGGCCCGAACCTGCAGCACGGCACCGAACACACACACACACGTCTATGTAGAGGAGCCTGTGTTGCATTCAGGTGTTGTCACGTAGATAACAAATTCAAGCACTTGAATGGGGATATTTTCATAGGGAGCAACACCTCTCCCACTCGGCAGCATGCCTCTGTTTGAGGTGCTGCAGTAAATTGGTAGTACTGCTACCTTGGGGAGCAACAGCCTACAAACACACTTTGCAGCGGGGTGCTGTTTATTCTGTGTCTGACGCCACAAAACCGAACTCCTTCCCTTTCTTGGGAACGAGTTCTTCCTCGCTCGGTGCCATGATGTTTGTGTATCAAGCGCGTGGGGGGGAGGGGTGAGCCTACTCTGAACTACGGGAGCCCAGCGGGGAGCGTCAGTGGCGGATGTTAAAGAGAAACTCGATTTTCATTAAAACAAATCGACCTAAACTACAAATTCGAATTAATCGATAAAATCGATTTATCGCCCAGCCCTACGATTTCATCTTAGTTTTAATTATCAAGATCTGTTTTTAGCTCGTCATGGTCTTGTTTTTGTCATGGAAAAAAGGTGGTTTTTGGTTTACACACTTGTGACTATTTAAAATAAATTCATTGTTCCCACATGAGGACATCATTTTCTCCAAAACCTACTCACTGTTCAAAAACAATGCTTCATTTTTTACACTTATCAGGTCCTTCTCATCCCAAATAGCCAGGACAAATAAAAATTCACATCAAACAAAAGCTGGGGTCTCAAGAGGTTAAAATGTTTGTACTTGAAAACTTGGAACAAACCTCTTTCACAATGCCTGATGAATGTTAGATGGCCAAAACCACAAAATTGTGCCCAGTAGTCATTTAAGTGTTGTTATGTCTACTTACACACCTGTATCTTTCTTGTTTCCAGTTCTAACCCAGTACTGAAGGGGATGTGGCCCGAGGGCAAACTGAGCATCACTGAGGTCACCAAACGACCACTGACAGCTGCAACGCTCTTTAAAAACTCCATGATCTCGTTGGTGGAGAACCTGGCCTCCAAGGTAAGGAGTCAGGACGGATAAACCGTTTGACAAGCATTGCATCCAAGGCTGTAGTTCAGGCTGAACAAATTTAAGCAATTATTTTCCAACTTCCAAATTCTGAAATAGCTTTCATGGAGCCTCAGAGATTCTCTGCACAGGGTCTTGCATGTTGAATTCATGTTAGATACATGTCCAGTGGTTAACACACTGTCTCCCTCTGTAGGAACCCTACTATGTTCGCTGCATTAAACCCAACGATGTCAAGTCCCCTCTACTCTTCGAGCAGGAGCGCTGCCGTCACCAGGTGGAGTACCTCGGGCTGCTGGAGAACGTCAGAGTGCGGCGTGCTGGCTTCGCCTACAGACAGACGTACCCTCGCTTTCTACAGAGGTACCCACAACATAATAATCACTTAGAACCATGTGATAAACCTAGTTTTAATTAGTTATATCTTGCTCCTCCTGAACCTTTTCAATTATTACATGTCAGGTTGCAAGAACGCGTACATCCACTCATGGAAGAGGGGCTTGTGACAGCAAGAGACACAAGGATTAATGGCGTCCTCGCTGTAACGTTAGCTCGCTCCGTGGTGCTAGATGAGCTAGCAGTAGTAGCGTGCCTTCCTCTGCGTGAAGATGTAGTTCATCAGAAAGACAATAGTTCCTACATGAAACTGCTCACAACAAGGTCTGTGGATTATCTTGAGTAACCAGGTCATGGTTTCTGGAAAGAGACTTTGATGTTGAGGTTTTTTTAGCTGTAATTTTGTTGGCAATTTGAGCACCACAAGCTGAGTGCCATCTAGTTCCATTATATTGGAGAGAAGGCAGACAACTCTTCAGCTGAGATCTCCAACACTCACTCACACCAAAACAATCTAGATTGGTAAACAGCACTACAGGTAAGAGGAAAAGAGTGTATTTTTGATTTTGGGGTGAACTGTCCACTAACTGTCCACTAAGTCATGCCTTTGAATAACTATTACCCAAATTCTAGGCATATTTCGTAACATCAGGGTTGTGATTTGAAGGTTAAATGTTTGCTCATGGCACTATCTTTAAAATCTGGCCAGCAGAAGTGATGAGGTAACACTCCTTCCCTCACCTTACAGGCTCTGGACAAACATGCTGAATCCCTGAAGCCGTGCAGTGGGCAGCCATGAAGGATATTACTTGACATTTCCTAACTGTGGGGTGTAAATGTTTGTTGTGTAACACCCATCAGCTCGCATCTAATCTAATCCTGCAGCTCATCAGTTACATCTCCAGCAGCCATTCAAAAAGATAATCTTTTAATTATCATCTTTTTTTTTTTTTTTGCACTCGCTTTTGTCAGTTTCCTACGAGCGTAATATTTTTGTCCTCTGACCTTGATTAAAAGCAGGCTGGATTATAATTACTAGAGAGAGTTATTGTTGTTAAACATTTAATGTGCTGCAAACATTAGTCTGTTTTTAATGTGGTAAAGTAGCGAACAGCTACTAGTCAGTGACCTGCATTAATAACTCATGTTTTATTCATGTGGAAGCATAAACACTTGACATAACAAGTCTGTTTACATCACAATTAGCTCTCATTTGCTTGCAAGCAGAGTACTGATTATAGACCTCGGAGGCTGATACCAAGACTGATATTTAAGAGCTTAAAAATCTGATATTTTGGGCCAGTACATATATATAAAAAAAATAACAGAAACATGTAACATTAACTAAGGATTCCATATATTTGACCCATTTTTGTACAGTATTTGACATGACATTGTACATTGAAAAAACAGCAAACACACCTGTAAACTTTAAACCAAATTATTAGCATGCAGATAAATGGTGTGCGATTAAAAGATAAGATTCAAATCTAAAAAAAGGCAAATTTATTAATACAGCTCATTTCATAATTAAAGACAATTCAAGGTGCTTTACATAATGCATTTAGACAAACAGGAAATACAGCAAAAAACATTAGGACAGACAGCATGCAGAAGAAATGAATAGGATTAGAAACACAAGGTAGATCAAGATCTAAGTGCCAGGTGGGTAAAGAGTTTCCAGCATCTGTGTGTCTGCGAGGGTCCACTTTGGTCCACGTGAAGTAAATGTCGTCATCCACCCACGTCTGTGAGAGTCCAGTCAGGATTTATTTCTAGAGCACATTTAAAACAACATCAATAATAAAAATAGAATAGATGTAGAAAACAACGATAAGAAAACAGACCAAACAGTGCAGTGGGACGGCAGTAGCTCAGTCCATAGGGACTTGGTTTGGGAACCGGAGGGTCGCCTGTTCGAGTCCCCGTCCTGACCAAATATGGAGCGTGGACAGGTGGCTGGAGAGGTGCCAGTTCACCTCCTGGGCACTGCTGAGGTGCCCTTGAGCAAGGCACCGAACCCCCCCAATCGCTCAGGGCGCCTGACCAAGGCAGCCCCCTCACTCTGACATCTCTCCACTTTGTGCATGTATAGGTCCTGTTTGTGCATGTGTGTGTCTTTCAGACCTGTGTGCTGCGCAGCGATGGGTCGGGTCCGGGCATTTTTAGGCAATTCTGAGCAACAAGCAGAAGAATTGGAAAACATTTAGGAATTTAGCAACACAATCTGCCTTTTGCATCAGCTGAGGCTTGAAATCACAACCTCTGAGACTAAGAATCAATTTCTATCTCACTGAGCTAATTAGTCAGTGACAATTCATGTGTAGCTTCACAAACTGACTAAGCCAGACGTGCAGGTTTAGCAGCCGTCCATGCATGGAAAAGCAGATTTCAAACCACTGTAAAAAATTCAGTAATCGAAACAAAAATCTGAAAATACACATATTGCATCTAGACAGCATGGAGATGTTGGTAATTTGTTTGTAACAATGATTGATATGCTCCATAAGTGAAAAACTGATGTTTAAAATTACCATTTTTACATTGACTCCAATTGTTCACATTAGAGCAAAATTCAAAATGCTGTCAAAAATTCAGTTTTGAGATAAAATTCTGAAATTTGCCACACATCATCTACCATGACTCTAGAATTTTGAACATTGAAGATTTATTTAGCGAGAATTTGCATGTATGTTTACAGTACCATTTACAGTCAAACATTTTGATGCACTGTAGGCTCAATTTTTGATAAATCAAAAATCTGAGAAACGTAGTTTCTGTAGGACAGTCTGAAGATGCTCTGTAGCAAGTTTGGTGTCAATTGAGCAAAAACTGTGGGAGGAGATAGGTTTAAGAAGTTTTACAGTTTTTGAAAAAAACAGAGTGATGAACTTCATAATTTTTAATAGGTTTAAATGTACGAAAGTTTCTTCAGTATTGGGGCTACAGTTTGATGAAAGTTGTGAAGTTGTAGCACGTATGGTTGATTTGTTATGAATTTTCAGTTTTGAACTTTAGACGCTTGCTGTAGCGCCACCATCAGGACTATTGACTTGAGTTTACAGCTGAGGATATCTGGCATGAGACTGGACCTTTGTGCAAAGTTTGGTGAGTTTTCACCCATGGGAAGTATGATTTCCTCAGGAGATCAAGAAGAAGAAGAAGACTTGAGATCATCGTGCTCAGGCTGAATGATACGCCAGGTGGGAGAGAAAGGTTTTAGGGAGGATTTAAAAGTCTTTAGGGACTGGGATGACCGAATGTGAAGGGGGAGGCTGTTCCGGAGCCTTGGGGCAGCTGCTGGGAAGGCTCTGTCACCTCGAGACTTTGGTCTGGTTTTTGGCACCACCAACAGTAGTTGGTCCGAAGACCTTAAGGTTCTGGTTGGGGTGTGGCGCAAAAGGAGCTCAGAGAGGTACAGAGGGGTAGACCGTTGAGGGCTTTAAAAACACTTGAAAGAAGTTTAAAATCAATACGAAAACGGACCGGGAGCCAGTGGACGGAGGCTAAAACTGACGTGATGTGGTCGGGCTTTTTCTTGCCTGTGAGGAGGCGAGCAGCAGCGTTCTGGACGAGCTGTAGACGGTTGAGGGAGGACTGATCCAGGCCAACATAAAAGGAGTTATAGCCTAATCTGGTGGTTATGAAGGCATGGATCACCCTTTGAAAGTCTGCAGCTGAGAAATAGGGCTTGGTTTTGGCTAAAAGACGTAGCTGGAAAAAGCTAGTTTTGACAAAAGCACTGATCTGTTTGTTAAATTTGAATTGGCTATCAAAAACCACAGGGACCCCCATACCTGCAGCTCCAAACTCTTGTTCCAAAACATTGCAGTCAAGCCAGCTGCAGCCACTTCACCTGGCAGCAGGAGGACGGTAACGCCGCCTCCCCTTCTTAATGACTGCAGGGCGCTGACACTGAACACCCCCCCCCCCTCAATTGTACTATAAATCGAACCTCATGTGCATCCATGTGACCACAGCTGTCTGTGGATGTTCAATGCAGAATGTATGTTCAGGCCTCAAGATTTAAAAGTAGTCACAGTGTGGGCAGGTCGTATGTCATTTGCAGCAGTGGTTCCCATCTGGTGGGTCGCAGTTCCTTTCTGAATGGGCTGCAAGTGACTCGCTAATATTTTTTATTTTATTATTATTATTTTTTTTTTTTAACCTTTATTTAACCAGGAAGGGTCCAGGAGTTAAAGTAGCTCTTCTTCCAGGGAGTCCTGGCCAAGACTGGCGGCAAAAGTTACAAGTACACAAAAGACAAGACAATGGACACATACTAAAACCACGAAAACACAAGTCTCACATACTAAACATACTAGAACACAAAGGCAATGAGAACACATTACACTCAGTAAGACACATAACAAGGCAAAACAGACATACTGTTAAAAGGCACCAAGTTAGAAGCAGTGACACTGTTCAGTAATGGTTGATTTTAAAAGTTTTTTTAAACATGTTGAAAGGTGGAAGTGACTTCAGATTTAAGGTGTTTTGGAGTTCATTCCAGGCGAATGGTGCATATGAAGAGAAAGCTGTTTTACCAAGTTCTGTTCTTGTTGAAGGAGTGGTTAATAGTATTTTTTCTGATGAACGTGTGCTGTAAACACTAATATGATATGTAAGCAGATTTAAAATGTAGAGAGGTAATTTACCCATTAGTGCTTTTGCAATAAAAAGTAAATAAGTAAGTAATGTGTACGTAACAAATTAAATTTCCTTCTAAGGGATAGAGAGGTCCATTGTACCATTTCATACAGAGTGCAATGGTGAGTCCTAGCTGCTGCACCTGTAACAAAACGCAAGGCTGAATGATATAGAACATCTAGTTTTTTTATAAAGAGGAAGAAGAATGCATATAAATTAGGTCACCATAATCTAACACTGATAAGAATGTGCTCTGCATCAATCTTTTCCTTGCTGAGTATGGAAAGCATCTCTTTAGTCTAAAGTAAAAACTTAACTTAGGTCGGAGTTTTTTTAAAAGGCTCTCAATATGGACCCCAAAGGATAATTTGTCATCT